GTCATCAATGGATTGTCTTTATGAAAAGGTGTTTGTATTCACTAATGTCACTGAAGGAGATGAGTATAATTATACTGTTACTATTACTAATGTCATTGGGTCTGCTGTTACGACTGGTTCCATAGGTACATAGTTAGTGTATTGACTGTTTTTTATAGTAAAATACAGGATTTTAGAGCAGCTACTGACTAACTAAATAAAATGCTTTAATGTTAATATTTGATAATTTCTAATAGTAATCCCTTATTCACCAGTGGTAGTGTGTCCTTCAGAAGTCCAATATTCACCTTCAACAATGATGATGATTAGTCATATTTCATCAGGTAAGTACATGTACATGTAACATGATCATAATAGTTATCATTACTATTATTATTATTAGTTATGGAGTCAAGCACACCAGCTATTGTATCTTCCAGTAGTTGTAATTGTGTTCTTCCTTGGACAGTTGGTGTATTAATTGGGGCAGTAGCAGGGATGATTGTCGTTTCACTACTTGTGATTGTTTTCGTCATATTAATAAAAATCAGGACTCGTGTAAAGATAGATTGCACCTCATTCAACAAAGGTAAAACTAATAATAAAGTCTGATGTGATTTATTTTTTACAATAATATAGGCAGTGACACTTCAGAGTTATCATCTCCTGAAAAAGACAAAGAAAGTACAGAATCATCAGGATTATAATTGTATCAGCATTGATTGGCTGCACTTCATTATCATAATTAGTTTTGTCAAAATCATCATACTACATGTACAAAGTTTATATCAAACAAAAAACCTAAGTTCATATCACATTACAGTATCAAAAAAACTTAATCATTGTTCAGTGTTAATAAACTCTACTATACTTACTAGTCTTAGTACAGCAAGCACATTTAAACAATACAATCAAAAGAATACACAGAACAACTCCTAAGACTGATCCTAGTACAATAGTAGCAATTTTATAACCATCAACACCACTAGGATTGAGCTTCCCCTTTATTCCTTTCTTAAACTCATCTACTGTTAGCTCAAAATTACCACACTTTTGCATTTTATAAGGAGCAGGTGTCTTCTTCCCTTCTTCATTAATGATGACTCCCATTCCCTCCAATTGATGTACCTCAATATGACAGTGTAGGAACCACCAACCAGGATTATCAGTTTTAAAATACACAACAGCATAACCACCAGCTGGTATTAACAGAGTATCCTTCAGTGGGGCTGAAGGATCAAGATCAAAGTCATCATATGTATTTACATTCCAAGATGGATTAGTACACAGTAGGTCTCCTCCACAGTTAATATCACTGCTTCCTTCCTCCAACCTTCCAGTAATATTATTAGTAGGACCAAACTGTATATCAGCTACTTGAAAATAATGTCCATGAAGATGTACTGGATGAGCGAATAGGAAGTTGTTTAGTTGTGTAGTGTTTGGTCCAGTAGCTGATATTACTAGTTGTATGGTATGATCATTGCTCACGTTGACAACATGAGCGCAATAGCAGTCGGAATCAAGAACAGTATCAATCTCATCGCACTCCCAATTTGTGTCAAGGTTCTTGCAGGATTCTTGGTAAAGGTTTTCTGGAGTATCGTACAAAGCAGGTGGAGATGAGGGCAGTCTTAAGTTACGACCATTAATAGCACTAGTTTGACTGATTCCCTCAAAACCAAAATTAAAGAAGAGGCTAGTCTTACCTTTAGCATTGTTAGTAGGTAGATCAGTATCAGATACAGGAAAGAGTAGCCTCAGATTATGAATATGTTCACAGCTGATGTAGTAAGATTGAGGATAGACTAGGAAAGGACAGTTAAGAGCTGTACAGTTGGAGGATTCAGTGCATCTAACGGCATCACTTTCTGAGCTTTGAGCTATTCTTTCATAATCAGTAGCTTTAGGATAAGGGCCTGTATCATAATGGAGAATAGCTTCAGCAACACTCTCTTGATCGCTGTTCACCTCTAGCGTTACCACACGAATTAAATAATCATTTTGTGACGTGTCATTTTTCGTTTGAAGAAGAAAGTCGTATCTCTCTCCAGAGTGTATTATGATGAAATCCACTTCAATTGGTACCACAAACTGTCCATCAGTCGCTATTACTGTCAGTGTGTGCCTGTCAATGGAGAAACGATAAGCATATAAGCTCTGAGCACCAATCAGTCTAAAACGATACACGCTACCAGGAGATACTTCGAAAACACTCAGTTCTGAATTAACATAAGGAACACTTCCATGTCTCC